TCTCCGGACCGCCCGTTTGTGCTCCGTTATTCGTGAGCTAAGTCGTCGTCCGGTTTGTCCTGTTTGATGTCGCATTCTCAGTCCCTGACGATGGCCTCCTGTACGAGACCGAAAGCTCAGACTAATAAACCTACTTTCCCAGAGATCGGGTCGTCATCTTCTTTATAGCCACATCTGATCGAAATTTTCCCATCTTTGCGGCTCATGTAGCTTCGCGACCATAAGTAGATGATAATTAACCTATATTTTAGGTCGAACGAAGTAAGCCCTCCGCCAGTTAATAGAAAATGAGTAGTCCAGTAGGCTTCTGGACGAATGAGGCAGTGAAGACCAGTTGCGATACGACATCAACGAGATGATAGTCTTCAGAACTGGTGGTAGAGGGCTGGATACAACGAATGTGTCCGTCTATAAAGATTGCCCCGTCTCTAAACCAAGAGGTATGACGGCGAAGTCTTCTAAACAATACGAGGTAGCACATCCGTTTTCAGCGCGAAACAGACATATTGATCTGTCGAGATTTCGCAGAGCTCAGTCGGCTGACCGTTGTTAAGCGTTGATGTGTCGAGTTGGTCGCGCTTGGGCCAGTCGATATTTTTATTCTTTCGCTGCCTCTGCCGTCCGGCAGATGTTTGACCTGCACGACAACTGCGTGCGTGGAGGTTGATCCGTCTGGTAGCTATTTTTCTCTCCCGTCGGGAGATTTCTCGCCTCCGTGTTAGAAATGGCGCAGGTATTTATAAGCTGCAGGGGGGGGGGCAAGATACCTACTGATGGGGTGTACATCTGAACGCCATGCCTCATGTGTTGGTCGTTCTGTCCTTGAGCTGCCTTGACATAAAATGGTCGTTCTCTGACGGCCAGAACGAAACTAGGACACTCGCAATAGAGGTAGGCTTGCGCCATATTCCAGGGAGAGTATCTTTTTGTGTGTCTTAGTTCTTGCCGTTAAATTAAACCTAACCCGAACCTTAGCCTTAACTCAATCTCCCTAGAATTTAGCGGATGGTCACCTGTATTACGGGGGAGGTCGTTAATCCTGTGTCCTACCGTACAAACAATTTCCCCAATGTGCGTTGAAAGCTTGGAGCTTGGGCCTAAAGCCTGCTTATAGGCTATCAAATATGTGGTGGCTAGTAGAGGTAATTTGGCTGGGTGACACCGAAAGAGGGGCACTATGGGCTTTCACTAAATTGCTCACTGGAAGACCTACTATTATGAGATAATCGCGGACACAATAGCCGTCGAATCGAATCGCTGGACAGGTGGCATTTCATGCTGATGGTAAGTTACCAAAAGAGAAGTTGAACTCAATGGAAGAAAAGCAAAATTAATAATATTTGTTCTTGTTTCCACGTCTGCATGGAGATAAGAGGTCCGCTGACCATTTGGAAGTGTAAAGGTTCTTTAATTTTGCGGCGGAGGAAGATTAGAAAGAGAAAACGAACGAATAAAATTGTCGCCTGTCGGACACTTTGGAATACACGGAGACACTTATGCGAATTCAGATGATAACTGTCAGATTGCTGTAATTTGTCGCACTCTTCCTTATAACGCCTCCTGAAGGCAGGCTATGAAAGGAAGCTGGTATACGGTCTAGTGAGAAGAGTTTTCTTAGGATGGAAGAAACCCAAAACAGCATTTACGGGGGTAAGGAGAAAGCTGGTGTTCAAATGAGCGGCATGAGATTTTACAGCTAATCAGGGTTTGTAAAACAAAGAGTAGTCATTGGGAGGGGAAAGAATCAGGGGACGCAATCACGCAGGTACTCCTAACCGTTTAACCACCCCTGCCTTGTTCTGGAAAGTGCATAAAGATGCTTCATAGCCATAACTGAGTGCTATCTTGCATTATTCCTTGTCCGTCAAGGACAACTCTGATATTCCAACTTCGCGCCCATAACACACGCAATCCAAATCATGACGGACTGTCGAGAGTTTTGCTTCCTGCTGCTGGAGGAAGACACACCGTGATCAAAAACCTCTACGATGACATATGGCACTTGCAAACACTGTTATAACTGGACGTGGGCACTGACACTCGACTGCGAGTTTCGAGGACTCCAACGGCAAATTCGGGCGAAACTGTCACGACTGAAGAAAAGCTTGCTGACAGAGGACAGTAACCGCAATAAACACCGATCTATCCTGGCCGAAACGTGGGCTACGGACGTTGCGTTTTTCCCTTGGAAATAATTAGTTTAAGTTCTGTTCATTGCTCATTGCCATGCTACGAATTGTGGGAACTCTGGGGCAGAGCATGAAGGCAAAAACGCACGCCTGCACTGCTTCCAGCGAACACGGATATTAGTATATTAAAATGCAGTCCCGTCCGCCAACCAAGGATCACTAACCCATGTCTCCATTTTTATTGCCGTGGACGAACGCGCCGACCGACTGAACCCAGTTTCAACTTGAAAGTCTCTTGCGCTTGCCTGATTGGTGATGATGACGAAGACAGATTCCGCGGTCTTGGTTCTTATTGTCTTCGTGGGTCAGGCTTCTCGACAGATTTGAGTTCGACATGGGAAAAAGATCCCCTCCCAACTATTACAGGCGGTCTTGCGCCAAATTCCAAGGTGTGTATTTTCCCGTGTCGTTGCTCTAACCCTAATTATCAAAACTTTGACCCTGGTCTGAACCCTAACCCTGACCCTGACTTAAGCCATAACTTAACCTTCTCTCGGACTTGTAGCGTACGGTAGATGTGCTAACCCGTGAAATGTTGACAGAAATCCTGATGTGCATCTTCAACTCGAAAAGACTTCTTAACTAGGTTTATACTATTAATTATTGTGCGGCTTAATCCCTACTTTTGAACAAACTTCTCGGTCGCCTGTAAAAAACGAAATTCTATAAAAATGATTTCTTAGGCAGTATGAACTTTTCTCACTGATTTTCGATGCCCTTATAAAATCAGATGTATCTTACAGAAAACGTGCATAAAAATCTTCCTTCTTTTAGTAATTTGGTTGAAATTTATGTCTCCTTCAAAGTTCATACCTGAAGGAACGGTATAATTCGGTTTTAAAAAGTTTCTGATTACGATTCGTTTTAAGACTCTGAAATATCCATTCATAAAACATTGTGTCGGCGCATTCACTACTGTTGCGAGCGAGTACATACTTCCAGTTACCTCAGTTGTACATACTGCTCGCCATTTCAGAGAAAAACATGAAGGTGAGACAGTTGTTGCCATGTCTTCGTCTCAGTGAAAATCTGGTGATGAGGTGGATTAAGTTCATAGGCTGATTAGAAATATCAAAAATCACTAAAGAATTCAGATATCCTGCCCAGACTGTGGGCAAAGAACAGCCAACATGTGTGTACTGATGAATTTACTCTCTGGGCAAAGCGGTGATTGACGGCTTTTTAATGCAGACACTCGTTATTTTGGAAATGAAAGGCGAAATACGGCATGAAACAGTACAATTGGAATTGAACTAGGCGCTCGAATTCCAGGCAATTCCTACGGGCGACCCAAGGTCCTTTCATCTTTCATATTTCAGTAGCCGGTTATTTTGGCATTGACGGGTTTTGCTAATTTGGCGGTTCTCAGGTCATGGAATGAAGTGATAAAGCAGGTTAACATGACCTGTCATATATGAAATCCGTTAGAACAAAAGGACGAACGGTGACTGCCCCGCAAAAACCCCCCGAGATAGGGAAATGTAGTTGATACACGTCACAACGAGATCCCTAAATAACCCAACCAACATTGTCTGACGAACACGGGATTAATGATTTTCAGGCAAAATCCCCTACTAGCGGTAATGGAAGAGCGGTAACTTTAGAACTGGCTGTACTGAATTGTTCTGCTACGGGATGACCAAAGAGCTTCCTGTCAAGGCCGATATTTACCCATTTCAAAGTTTAGACATACATGAGGGACAAATATGGGTTTGGAAGTTTAGAAACAATGTCGAATGCCCCCACCCCCTCCCATGTCAACTTCCCTCACGGTGATGTGAAACGGAGGTACCCAGACCTTACATTACTACTGCGCATCGACGATCCGGCCACGGCTCACGCGCCTGGCGCTGGAACTTGTACAAATAAACAGAGACTTTCACGCAAGAACCCACCTACTGTAAGTCTCCCTCTCTACCCGAGTCACATGATTTCTGCCACGGCGGTGATGGGGGAGGCGGGGACGCCTCTGCGTGATCCAACGTTCAGGTGTTGTACCTCCCCGTTCAAGTGCTTTAAAGGACGGCGCACTAACACAACAGCTCTTGCATATGAGAGTGGTTTCACATTTCTGCTCGCGTTCCGGTGATGCACTGGACGAGTTAAGACAAATTAAAGTAGCAGACATCGGAGGCGAAACCTCTGGGGATCTGCCGCCTCTAATAAACCCGAATGTTTTGTCAGGTTTTATGGCAACTTAACAAAGCAGTGCACTGCCCAAGATTAGAATAAGGATGTATAACAATCACTCAGACGAGTAGAATGAACGCGAACTTCAGTTTCATTTTCCTCCTCCTCCTC